GACGATGTCGAGGTCGGCCCTGGAAGAGTAAAAATGTTTTCCCCTGAAAAATTATGAACAACCGGAACCAACGCCGAGGGGAGTCGACTTCGTTTTCTTTCGGAAATAATCATGTCGGACGCTATAGAATCACCTGGAAATGCGTGCAGTTCATTTTCTCCTAATTCAACCAAGTACATTAATTCAACAGACTAAAGGAAGACTGTTTTAGATGATATCCTATTAATCCAGAGAATGATGAAAGCCCGTCTCAGTCTTCTACGTGAATAAATCTCCATTCGCCTGCTTTTCCGCCGTGAAAAGATTGACACCATTGCGTCACTCGTTAATCGTCGATCTATACTGACGCTTTGTGATAGTCGCTCTTTTAGTATCTCATGCAAGGTCTCTTCGCCGGTAGAAATCTCGACAATTTAGATGAGCATTTAATTAAATAAAATTTCTGGGCTACTTCTGGTTCCGCAATAGCTTCCAAGATTTGTAGAAGGCCGAGAAGGTAAGTTTAACATTTAGAGTAGAGAAGTTCCCAAGTTGAATTTTAGGCAATGCTTCAATCATACTAAATATGCCCAGATTGGCCGAGAATATTGTTTCCCAGGGCGGAAGCAGAAGCAAATGAATTTCTTGAAGCTACTTTATAAGCAATTGTTGGACTTCTTTTTCCGAACAGCGCGCAGAAATTAGGCACTTCTCGTATCAAGCTGAGTTTTTTTTCTTGGGATCATTTGAATTCATTCCAAGGTGTCGAAGAGGAAGTTTCTTAGTTTTGTTTTCTCCTTTTTTTTGCGTTTCGGGTTGGCAGATACGTGAAAAGAATGGAACGTTTTTGCAACTTTCGCTACGCGGCGGCGCAAGTTTCCTTGTGTGTAACACGTGCAACCCAATTCCCGCCGTCACCCACGCGTCCGATGCACGTCTTTGAATCCGTTCACTGCTCCCGAGAACGTGTCGGAATCCAAATGGAGACGAAAAAAATAATAATCAAGACACAAGTTCGTGCCGATTTTCCCACGCCCTCTTATCCTTGGTCAAGTTACTCAAGTCTGCTGGTACCCGAGAAAGTCGAATGGTTGAATTAAAATGAAATCATGTAAAAAAAGAAAGATAAAATTGTTCTTGTGACCTGAAATCGCGGAGAAGGGAGAAATCAAAGCCTGTCTGCCGGACTCGCCTGAATGTACTGTACGAACAAAAGAACCGTGCAATCTGGTCAGTACCTTTTAACCCCCCCCCCCTCTCTCTCTCTCATTCAGTGCCCCGCTTTCCTCGTCTTGCCTGCGTTAAGATTCGATCGGACTCTTGATTTGATGAAACGCGCGCGCGCTGAGGTACTTTTCTTTTGCCTTTCCCTGCACTCCGCTAATGCCGTCTTCGGAATTTCTTGGCGTTATTCTGAGTGCGGGCAGAATCCTGCCAACCTTATTTGAGTACCGCATAGAGAAAAGAAAAGAGAGATAGAGCGTTCCTTTCTCGCCTCATGAGCCGATTTATTTCTCCCGAGAAGGCGTCGAGACTTCTTGCGTGCAAAAACCGTTCTTGGACTTTCTCGGCTCATCGATCGGCTGCCATAATGAGCAGATATTCATAGCTTGAAGTGCGCATTTAAAAAGAAACGGCCTTTTAATCGGATCTTGTAATTTTTTGCTGGACGTTGATGGAGTAAACGATGTGGATGTTGGGGCAGACTTTTTTGACCCAAGGATGCCAGAATTTGGAGTGTGCAAATTTTTATTATATAATTTATGCGTAACGTAAAATATTAGGCGATTTTGGAGAAAGTTGATACGTGTCGGCGTGGCGAAAGCGCTCAAAGAAAGTTGAAATTTTATATTTTAAAACCTGAGTTTAAGCGTTTTGAGCATTTTAAATGTACGCTAAAACACTTGAGCGAAGTCAAGATTGTACTTGTGTGGTTACGATGTGATTACCATTAGTCTCTGTATAAAATGGGAAACAGTGGAGAAGCTTTAGTCTAGTCATTGAACGTACCTTAGACTTATTATCGAAACAGCTCTAAACGTAATTCATAGTCCGGATCTGCAGTATTTATCTCCTCAACTTGGAGCAATAACCACCGTCAAAGCAGGTACACTTTCCTCCTAATCCTCACCGCTACTGTACACGTTGAACCTCTTACAGTTAAATTTGAAGGAACTCGCAAAAAAAAAAAATTATTGACAAGTTTCTGAGTTGCGGTATATGGTCTGATTTGTGTAGAGAAATTAGAGTAATTCCTTTTCGGAAGCAATTATTAGAAGTAGTCACCATTCTTCAACATCCAGTTGCCTTATCCCTACTGAAGCGTGTTGAGATGATAACCAAGAAACAGGCCTTTTTAACAGTAGCCCTAATTTAACAACGCAAAGGCTATAAAACATTCGACTGAGGTAGGCTTGCACCAACAAATTTATATTTAGAGAGGGTTGAAGTCTTGAGGGAAATGGCATGGGATTCAACGAAACTTGAAATCGAGAATTTGACTATCGATTTGAATGTTAAAACGGCAGCTCAGTTTTCATCCGCTTTTCAAAAACCCATGTTGTACAGCGTTCCACGCTCATTTCATTCACAATTCCAGAATTTTTTGAACAATACTATTTGATTAGATGACCTACCCTGAGCTTGAACCCTGTCACACTTTTGGGTGGTACACTTCGCAACTTTTCCGTTGAAAGGACCGTTGAGGAAAGGAAGAATAGGAAAGGGGATTATTCGTAATTTCGCGTCATGATGCTTTCGGCTCGACCTCCGTACGCACGCTTCGTTTCACGCTATGGAATACATGCATTATGCTGAAACGACGTGACCCATCTCATCGTAAATGACTGTTACCAAACCGATTATCAGCGAGTGATGTATGGGGCGGGTTTGCTTACAACGTGGTCAAGTGCGCGACTTCGTTATTTTCCCCGCGTTCGCCGTCTCCAGGAAACGCATTACCTCAGCTCTGAAACTCACCGTGTTGACTTAAGTGAGAGCTCCAACAGTCGAGTCGCCAGTGTCGTGAACCGAGGGGTGGCAGGTTTGGTGGGGCTAATGATGAGTGAACTTCAAGAGGAATCACCGGGCTAGGAATTGTTGTCATTAATTCACCGGCTCGGGGTTACGGCCATCCTTAGCTTGTCTTGCTGGAGACCCACCGCTCCAATTTTTTTTTTTTTAAACTTCAAGTAAGGTCCATCGTTGAGGGGGAACAATTATTTTAAAAATTTTAAGAAATATAGGACAAGAAATCACGTTTCTGATGGAACGTTCGCACGCCCTTTTCCTTTGATTGAGTCCACATTTCTGGTACTGAGTAAAATGTGTGGGCAGTAGCAGATTGCATGCACTGCTTTCTTCCCGCTATTCCAGCAGCTGATCATTTCTCAGTCAGTGACGAAGTTGAATCGTGAGTCGACGAACGGGGCTGGCCCTTATTATTTCATTCTCTGGAATTATTTTCATTCTGATTTATCGCTTCAGCGTTAACACCTTCCTACGCGAAGAGAAAATCCGGATTGGTTTTTATCTTTGCATTTTCATCTTTTTTTTCGATTACTTTCCACCGGTTGGTTTCATCATGCCCATGGAAGAAAGGATACAAAGAAAACAGAAACTTTGTTCAATTGTTTGAAAAATAATGTTCTGTGGAATGGCTGGAGTCTGTTCCATGTCTAAGAAGTCCATGAATTCGTAGTAAAACGATCTTTACCTCGAGTTTCTGATATGAATGTCATTGTTTATTTCTTGTGTATATTATCGCATCGTATAAATGTCACTGCCGAAGAACGTACTGTACGTCACTCCCTGTCTTCTACTCACCAGTTCGGGTACACGAAATCGGTTCCTTGATCATAAAAGCGTACGTTGTCGCCGTATTCAAAGTTACGATAATTGGGAAGTGGGATTCTTTTAAGCGTGGAGGAAGTTGAAATATGCGGTGCGATGAAGCATTTAATCTACTGTATATGCATTCACGGTTTACAAACGTGATTCTAATGATGCCTTTTGACGGTGGAACGGGGGGTTGTTATGCATACTAGACACGTCGGTTGGGCAGGGTGAAATTGAGTGGACTGGTCGAGTCATCTGACGGGGGAGTACCCGGGATACTGGTTCCGGTATTGTCTCGATTAGATAGCCCAAGGTCTTGCGCTCTAGGACTTTTTCCGAGACTCGAGTTTTGAAGTCGCCGTTATTTCAAATTTATGGGCAATTTTCCAGCTGCAACGATCGCTTTATTATGCTCACAGATTTTGGTGACCCATTTTGCTCAGCGTGGGGCGAAAAGCACTCCGTGGGAGTCCCGATTCGCGACGTATGTGCTTTTTGGGTCTTCATTTTTACGGAGAGTGAAGATTTTATTCCAGCTGGCTCGTAAACTGTGCTCAGTAAAAAGAACGGCTTAGGTCATATTTTTCGCTATTTTTAATGCAAAAAAAAAAACGCTTGAAGAACCTTCAAAACTCTCAAGATACCATTTTCACGAGTAAATCGGCGGCCGATTTTAGTTTCCACCGGTACGTCAACTGTACACTACACATTTTTACCCTACTGGGAGGTTGAAATTTGAGGGCATTTTTTAAAACTTCATTATCATACCTTGTGGGTCATCCGTTTGAATGGATTGAAAACGTCGCTGAAAAAAAAATTGTTTTCGTGGATATCTGCTCGATTTAAGGCTTTGCGGAACCTGAACAACCTTCGTATGGTTTCGTTTTTTTTTACTAGAGGAAAAAGTACTGCACGTGTTCAGCCTGCAAAACTGCTCGTAAATCACGAAGACGTAAGGTGTGTCTGAGAAGTGAAAATTTCTGCGCAGATTTAACGCGGAATTGGTTGATGCTAGGGGAAAAAACGAGAGATGACTTTAACGTCTCTACTCATTCTTCTTGGCGAGTTGATTTTGCCTCTCGCGTGGAGGGTATTCATATGGCATGTAAAAGGTACGTGTTTAATCACGCGTCTAGTCCAGGAATGGATCATAGAGCTGCAGCCCACAGAGCTGATGACGTTGAATGATCGACTGGCGAGGTTTATCTGAATGCGAGTGTGTTATTTGGTGTCGTGTGCGGCGCCCGGCACCCACGCGTCGAGGCGGAATTGAGTTATTTGTGGTCGGCGGCGGCGGCATTAACGAATGGTCATTGCGCGGGGTTTCTCTTGAAGACGTTTCTTTCCATTTTGTTCCCCGGTGTCTTATTTTCTTCGAATTTTTTCCTTTATGTCACAGGGCTTGAATGACGACTTCGGAACGAGCTCGCCTTTGGGCGAAGGCAGCATGGGCTGGGGACCCGTGGATCACATCGGCTATCTACTGGAAGGCCCGAACTCGAACAATGCCCACGAGGATGACGAGGGGAAATGCAAAAACACGGGTCTTGACTGCGACCCGACGTCCGACGATCAGATCAGCATGTTCCACACGATTGCGTTCGGTTTGGACGACAAATCCGACGACGCGTCTGGGCTATCTTCGAGGTTAGAAAAAGTTGCAGCGAAAAAAAAATTGAAAAGAGAATTTCCTGGACCGTGCTTGTGTTGTATATCTTGATGTATCTGTAGTCTCGTCCCCCTTAGAGCTCTTCTTCAAAGCCACCGACATCTCGGCATGAATGTTATTGTCCAACTTACCTCGTGAATACAATGACACTTGAAACGCCACGTCTCATCGCTTGCGAATTTGAATTTTCCGAGTAAAAAGCTGGACCTTGTGTAACCCTGCGGAGATGCACTTATTCGAATTTCCATATGCTCAAAATTCGGCGAGATGCAATCTCCCTCTCTTTCCGATTACTGTACGAGAATAATTTGACCATGCTTTCAAATGACGATTTTTTTGTGAAAATCGTGCAGTAGTTCTACCGTTGAACGCAATGGTCTCCAGTCGGAAAATTAACACCTGGCCTGGCTCCATTTTTTCCCCCCAGGTTTACAAAGAAATGTTGATAATTTTCAATTTTTAGTTGATGCAAGTGAGCTGCGTTTGCTGCTCACATCCGTGATTTTTATTCAAATTTTAAAATGCGTTGTCGAAGATGAAATTTTCCACGTGAATTATATGGATGTAGAGAAAATTTTTTTCTGATTAAGTAACCTAAGTTCTGATTGAAAAACCTTGAAAATTCATTTCGACTCCAAATCCTTGAGGAATTTTTCTTTTCCTCAGCATACGGCCGTATTTCAAATTTAGTGTGATGCGGAGTAAGTTATCTTTGAAGTTTATTCCCTTTCGTCTATCTTTTGACTACTTGAGTGTATTCCTGTGTGTTAAAAATTTATTTTCGAGGAACAAGATGTAGTATTCGATCACGAGCCTGTATTACGATTTTGTTCTCTCTACTTATTGTGGTTTGGCCTTGTTTTGCTGTTTCGAAATCGATTGTTCGGTGAACGATTCACTTTCCGCGCAATTTTTCGATGGACGCTTCAAGCGTTTCGGTTGTGAAACCGCATCATTTTCGGAGCTTTTGCGTAATTCTTTTTCCGGAATGTTTCCCTTTTGTGCGTCGTAGTAAACTGGACAGCGACGGAGACGTGGTATTCAAAGACAAGATGATGTCGGAAGCGACGATCGAATCTACGCTGCAGATGCTGCAGACCTCTGTCGCCAATTGGGGATCGACAGTCACATCGTCTGCCTCCTCCCCGACACTGTCGTTGCCATCTTTGATGGCACTGCCGTCTGTGTCTAAGCCAAACTCTGCTGCTGCTGCGAGCCAGGCCGCATCAGTCTCTGATGTGTCGTGTCAACTCACTTCGAACGCGGATACGACAGAAACGACGATTTCGAATCCGAGTGTCTTTCGACTTCCGATCAAACAGGAACACTCGTACTCTCTGCTGATCTCGCAGACACCCGGCTCCAGATCCCAGTGTGGGGAAAGGATCATTATCCGGAGAAACCCCGAGAAACAAGGTAAGTTTCTTTTCTTTTTTTCAGTATCCTGTCTTCTTCTCTTCATGTTTGTAAAAATTTTGGTTCGCGTAATAATCTTGGATGGATCGAAATGGGCGCACTCTTTACCAATTGATATTACGTCAAGTTTTGACCACTCTGTTGAAAATAGGTAAAAATATAGAGAAGCAAAAGGGCTCCCCGTCTCAGAGAATGAATGAGACTCTCCCTCCCCATTAGAATGATTTAGGAATTTGCCGGCTGTCTGAGGGGTGAAAATAATTCAAATACAAAAATCTTGTCTCGTGATCATTTCGACAATGAAACAACTGTGTTCCAGTTCTAAATGTACCGTATGCTGATTTCCGCGATTTTCGTGTTCGTGATACTCTTCTGTAGTTGAAAGAAGGTTTTATGTGTGAAATTGTGACTCGAGAAGTTATGCCGATACTATTAAAAATGTATCCATGGAAAAATTCGCGAATGGAGAGGCTTGTTGAGAGTATTGTACAGTATTGATCCCCCGGTGATTCGGCTGAATATTTACCCAGAAGCCTTGATACGCAAATAACTCTTATCTCAAGGCGCTGACAAAACTTCTGAACTGTTCATTGCCTTCTGGTCATTCAGGGTGGGGGTTTCGATTTTTTGTTTATTCAAACCACTAGTTTTCGATAGTGTGTCTTTAATTTATTCTGAACTGAGCTTGAGATCGTTACCTTGGAGGGTTTTCAACAGTTCAGAAGTAATTTCTTTAGCTTTTAAAATACTCACGATTAATCATTTCCTGTTGACAGCTTATCGTGCGGAAATTATTCCAGGCTCTTTCGGAAGGAGTATAAAAATTCATCAGCGAAGCTATTCCATGGCTTCTTAGGTTTTCATTGAGCTTAGCAATTAACGTATTTATTGCTGCTCAGAATCTCCCGCGAAACCTGACCATGTTATAAATGACGAAGCAGGGCCCAGGTGACAAGTTCATCGTTCGAAAGACGAAATTGCTGGGGCATCTCGAGTCCGTTAATAAAGATTTGTATGGCCTAATTTAAATTTATGGTTGACGACGAGGGAGGAATTTCTGTGCAGCCGAGTGGAATTGGGTACGTCGTGGAATTGTGGGATCCGAGCCAGTATTTGTCGAGCGTATGGAAATCTCTCGTATTAATTATCCGGGATGGAAAACGTCATGTTAATACGGGGCGGATGCGATTCATGACGAATTCATTTGATGAGGCAGGAGACGAATAAAATGCATCGGGAGTCGGGACGAGCGTCTGGGGCGGGCATGATATGCACGTTTTTGTCCACGGCGGCAACGTTGCGGTTGGTTTCTTCTCATTGTTGTGGACATGGGCTGATGGAAATTGGAACGCGGTATCGGTGGGATCGCATTCCGATCCATCGGCCGATCGGAATTGGCCGAGATGCGATGAATGAGAGGGACACCCCGGTGGAAACCGAGACAATTAAGCCGGGCCGAGTTGCCCAGGGGGCCCCAGTTTCACCCGACATATCTTCCTCGCCCCCGGAACCGCTGTTATATTTTTGTTCCGTCGTGTTCCGGATCATTTGAACGCGACGGGGTGCTTGGCAGGGCGGTGATGACGAATTCATCACCTTGTAGTTGTGATCCGGGCCCCGGAAAGCTCTTCCCTCCTGCTTCGTTTACTTGGTAATGAGCCTGCCTCCCGCTGCACGGTGCTCTGGAGCAGACGGTGTGGTTAAAGAGGCAATCGTTCTCCTTGCCATCCGTCGTTTTTTTCTCTGATTGGAACCTTATACAAGTACTCGACATAACGTCAACCAGGAGACGAGCGTGGAGGATTGCGTGAATAAATCTTGGAGGAGGAGAGGGGGGTTGCTGTGATTACATTGCTGTACAAGCATTGTTGGTGAGGGTCTCCGGACACAGTGTTCATGGGAAATTCATTGCGGATTGAAAAATGTTCGATTTTGTGAGAGTTGCTCGAGACATTCCTTCAGATTCAACTTCATGCTTGGAGATAATTGTGACGCAACTTCATTGGATTCGGAATGATTTCAACCTGGTCACGAACTTTTGCGATCTACGGTAGTTTATTGCAGTAGTTGATTGTTTTGACGCTGGTTAGAAAATGGTCCCAACATTTTTTTAAAAGATGGAACACGAGACCGCGAGACTCGCGAGGCATGAAAACATGCCGCGTGAGTGAAATCTCAGCACAGCTCAGATTTTTGGGAATGATTGGACTGTATGTACTTCCTCCATCGGCGCGTTAACCGAATTGTCAACCATATGAATAACTACATGTTTCACATTTCTTATCCTTTTCTTCTTCAGGACAGGGCTTTTTAACTTTTCAGCTGCTTTTCCGATTCGGTGGCATGAAGCCTTGTCAGTAACACGTATTTCGAAACTTATTCTTGGTCAGTCTACAGTTGAGCAGAAATCCACGCGTCGTTCAGATTTTTGAAGGAAATTCTTGGCACGGTCCTCGTTTGGACTTCGCGAGATGCTCCGCGTTTGCGTTATGAATTCACTTCGGAGAAACCGAGTCTTACTGTTTCCACGGGTTTGGGATTTCGAGAGACCATCGGTTAATAAAAAAAAGTTCGGGAAGAAATTCCTCACGATCGGATTTCCATTAATTTATTTTTTCTCGAACTGGACGCTAATTTTTGTTTTTGTTCGGGAGAATTCCGAGGTCTGGCTTCGTTGTTATGGGAAGCTTCAATCCCCTTGAGAAGTTTTACGAATGCTTGGGGATTTTAAATGTCTAATCGCCTTGTACGAACTAGACTTTGTGGGACGAATTTATGTTGGGTTAAAACTGGCGATGTGCTCGCTGTCGAGTAAAACCAGATATTAATCCGAAAGTTTAGCGAAGTTCTCTAATTTATTCATGGAGGCTTTTGCAGACTGACTTTGCTTCAACCCTGGGTAAAATTTGCTGATTTGACCCGAAAGGTTAGAATCACTAGGTCAACAAATTCGGATGAAGATGGCTTGATCAAATTAGCTTTGATTGCTAATGATCGACTTGCTCTCCTGGCGCCAAGCAGAGACCGGGCCTTCGCTGGTGGTCTTCGATTCCTTCTATCGCCACGGGGATAGTTTGAGCGCCTTTTTACGGTTCTACTTATTAAGCCTCTACCGACGTCGGCGTTTTATTAGGCAATCCGGGGATTTATAACGCACGCCAATGTCGTGAGATCCGCGACTGTGCCAAGATCCCGATCAGGCATGTTACAGTACGTAAGCTGGACACACCGAGTTCGTCGGCATGTGGGGAGGGATTAACAGATCCACGCCTGGGTTCCCTGGAGCCAGGACATCCGTACTTGGATGCTCGTTATCTGCTCGCTCGTACTGTGTTGCCCTCCTGCTGCTGCTGCTGGTGATGTTGCTCCCGGTTTTCTGCAGTTCTTTGGAAAAAAAAGAGAAGAGTATAATGAACTTAGGAAAACGACGGAGAATGATACTAGGCCGGCGTGACTTGCGTGGGCGTGTGTCGAACTGACGAGTGAGCGGGTTCTATGCGTCCTTTTTATTTTTCGCCGCCGAAGGTGTGGCGGGTTCTCGTGGATCGACTTCGTTTGTGAATCCGGTCGGTTGGCACAGAGGCAGAAATGCGTGGACCTGGTTTCCGTGTTTCGCTGTCAGATCATCTGGACTTACCTTTCGGTACTCCCGCCCGAGAACTTTCTAGAGAAATAATTTCGTAAATCCTGTTGACAATGATCTTTTTTTATTGATATTATTTTTGTCGATGCCCAGCTTGATATCTTTTTACGATTTCTTCCGTACTTTGTCTGGGCAGGTGCACTGTTCGGGTTGTAAGGAAAGGCTTATGTGGGGCATTTTCATAGCTAGATTTTCAGTCAAAAATGTATTCATGATATTACCACCGGGATGCTAACCGTTAGAATATCGACTGTTTTCATCATTTTGATCCGAAAATGGAATTATAGATTTACACTACTGGATTTATTAACGAACGGCATTTTGGACTTCTTCAGACTTCGGAACATGTACACTACCCGTCAACACCTTCACGCTGCAAACATTAATTATTCAGAATACTGTACGGGCGTGGACATTCATGTTTTGGTATCCTCAATCCATAAAATAATTGTCCTTGTGTTCGCCATCCTGATGTAGAATTTTCTCTAGTTTTTCAAAGATACCTGTGTTTTCATCAACCCTGAAATATCACTCGACTACGTGATGAAACTTCTTCCGATTGAGTTGCAACCGTGACAGTCTTCGAGCTAACGCATTCAATCCATGTAAGAAAGCACTGGTCCCCGTTTTCTCCAGAGTTTTTCTTCTAATTTGATTTCTAAGCATATCGAAATACCTGAATGATAAAGTTGGACATAATTGGAAATGCCTTTCTTTTCTTTTTATCGGGTAAGTTCAAACCATTCAGGAGGCATCACAGCCGAAAAAATGGTCAAATTTATATTGGTCCAACTATTGAAAAGTGCATGAAAGAATCCGTTGAGCATGAAATAGAAGCAAAGGGTCAAGTGATGTTGAGCCGGTAATATAATTCGTTTCAGCCGAATGGGCTGCTTACCGAAGCATGCTACTCACAATACATATTTAAAAAGCATTCATGGGTGGTCAACCTCCCAGAAAGACTAATTCTCGTAAATTGGGACATTGTTCCATCAACTTGAACGAATAATTTATGAAATGCGCGGTGAGAGGGAACGGAGAAAAGAAGGTATTCATGACAAAGTGTAGTACCTGTACCAAAAAGTAAATTAAGACCCTTTAAGTTCGACAGTTTAAGCAAGAAAATGACAATAATTAGATCGCTGAATGAAGTTGAGCCATAAGAAGTGGGCGTTACTTTTACCTTGATGAAAATGCTGCTGATAGTACTGTAGTTACAAAATTTCAAGAAAAACTTTTTGATTTTTCCCCGTAAAGACATGCTCCTGTATTTACTAGGAGACGTCACGAAGGATCTGTCATCGGCATACAATTTTTTGATCAATCAACATTTCTATCTCATTTTGAAACAGTGCGTCATCATTTTCTGTTCAGATCATTTTCAGTTCATCCCTTTTTTCTCTTCGAAGTACTTCACGTGCTGAACATGTGACTGACTTGTTATGTGAGCCACATATGATTATCATCCGACTGGCTGGGCCGGTTTTCCCGAAATTTCCTCCTGTTTTTGAG